CGAGCTCTGAAGTTGCCCTAGGTTTTGGATGGTGGAACAGAATTCAGACAGCACACCTACCAAAACTTTGAAGATCCAGGATCTATTGGGGAGCGTGAGTGTTATAGCTGTCTCCACAGACAGGCGGCAACATGTCTTATTATTGCAACAAAAGCACGATTCCAACCTTGCGAACACCAGCTCATCTCAACCCTGTGCCCGGGATAAGCCAAGGTGGCCTCTTTGGCACTTCGTCGAAGAATCAGACAGGGACGCATTCAGACACATCCTTCGCTGAAGCAACGGGGGATACGTTCCGCAAAAAAGGCGAGCGACCAGACGAGTGTGCACGAGCAGCTGATAGTTGTCGTTCCTCGCGGCAGAAATTTTCAAATCCCGGGGTGTCAAGGTCAGAGAAAAAAGAGTGTTACCTTAAAGCCGCAAATAACCTTTCTTCATTCGTGCTTGCGCTGAATACCCATTCTTCTGAGAAGACTTCAAGACAAGACGGCGCTACGTTCAGCGAAATATCCACTTGCGAGCGCTGGTGTCAGAGCAGCCCAGCAGACGCAGGGCCTGCAGCTGAGTCTGCAGATGAGGCCTCATCAAGGATGCGCAGTTTGTGGCCACTGCACAACCTCACCAACCTGTGGGTGGACTGCCCACTTCGCAGGCTGCCCCTTTATAAGGGCCAGCATCTGCTGCGGAGCAAATTGAAACATTCAGCAAAATCAAGTCACAGATCTGCCGGAAGGGCTTTTGCTTTGGCTGGGTTTTCCTAACTCGGTTTTTGCAGCGCCACAATGGTCTGATGTTTGCTTAAGCCAAGAACGCCTTGCGTCCTGTCTGCGAGGGACCGTCCGTGTGATAGAATCACCGCAGAGAAAGACCACTCTTGTCTTCCTCGCGCGCGCTGCAGCACATGTCGCACAAACCTGCAGCATTGCAGGCTTGAAAACCAGCCTTTGCGAATTGCATGCATGCATGCAAGCAAGCACGCGCGCTAAAGAGGACTCGCGAACAAATCTTGGCGCGAATTACCAAACTTGTCGAGAGCACACATCTCAGCAAGGCTTCTACAAGTTGCTACGCCGCGCCACGCCAAGCAGCTGCTCGTAGCACGGCCGGGATGCCAAAGCCCCCGAGAACTGGCATGCGCCTGGCAGAGGTGCGCTATGTTTTCAGCCAAGTCAAGCACTCACTTGGCTTCTTTCGATATCCAGACTTCTCTTCTATGATCGGACCGCTCTTTTTGAGTTCAAACACTCCTTCCACATTCACGCTCCTCTTCCATAATTGGACATCTCTCTCCTTGACCAGACTCTCCTGTCACATCCGGGCTTCTTTCGTTGCCGGTCTTTCCTTCCAACTCCAAACTTCGCTTGTATATTCAGACTGCTCTTGTATTTTCAATCGCTACTTCCATGTCCATGCTCTTCTTCTATAGTCGCGCATCTCCTTCCTTGACAGGGAACCTCTTTCAAAACTGGACTCTCCCTCTATATCCAGACTTCTCTTTTACGATCGGACTGCTCCTTTGTACTTACACACTCCTTCCACTCGCGCCTCTCTTTCCTTGATCGGGCTTCTCTTTCAAAACTGGGCCCTCCTTCGATACCCAGACTTCTCTTCTATGATCGTCTTCCATAATCGGGCATCTCAATCCTTGACTGGACTCTCCTTTCATACCGGGCTTCTTTCGTTGCCGGTCTTTCCTTTCAAATCCAAACTTCTCTTGTGTAACCGGACTGCCTTTGTAGATTCAAACGCTTCTTCCGTGTTGATGCTCTTCTTCTAGAATATCTTCCCTTGACGGGGCTTCTCTTTCAAAACCGGACTCTCCCTCTATATATCCAGACTTCTCTTCTATGATCGGACTGCTCTGTTGTTTTCCACTCCTTCCACATTCATGCCCCTCTTCTTTGGTCGCGCATCTCTTGCCTTGACCGAACTCTTCTTTCGTCGCCGGACTCTCCGTCCAAATCCAGACTTCTCTTTTGTACTCAGACACTCCTTCCATATTGACGCTCCTCCTCGCTACTCGCTCATTTCTTGATTGGGCTTCTAATTCAAAACCGGACTCTCCGTCTACATCCAGGACTTTCCTTCCAAACCCAGACTTCTCTTCTGTAATCGGATTTCTCATTTATGTTCAGACACTCCTTCCATATTCACGCTCCGCCTCTATACTCGCGCGTCTCTTTCCTTGACTGGACTCTTCTTTCATCTCCCGGCAGCCACATAATGACGACCTCTCTCCCATGGTCGGACTGTTCTTTTGGACTTACACACTCCTTTCATATCCACGCTCCTGTTCTACACTCGCTCATCTCTTTCCTTGATCGGGCTTCTCTTTCAGAACCGGGCCCTCCTTCGATATCCAGACGTCTCTTCTATGGTCGGACTGATCTTTTGTAATCAAACCTTCCACTTCCAGAATCGGGAATCTCTCTCCTTGACTGGACTCTCCTTTCATGTCCGGGCTTCTGTTTCGTTGCCGGTCTTTCCTGTCTCATTGGACTGCTCTTTTATATTCCATCGCTCCTTCCATGTTCATGCTCTTCTTCTATAAGCGCGCATCTCTTTCCTTGATCGGACTCTGCCTTCATATCCGGACTTCTCTTCTATAATTGCCCATCTCTTTCCTAGTTTGCCGCCTCCACGAATTCCGCCGATTCCGCCAGCCAGCCGTGAGCTTTGGCTGGCTGATTCCGCGGCTGGCTGGCCGATTCCGCCGGATTGGTTTCGGCTGGCTGGCTGATTCCGCCAAATTGGCTTCGGCTGGCTGGCTGATTCCGAGGGATTGGTTTCGGCTGGCCGGCTGATTCTGCCGGATTGGCTTTGGCTGGCTGATTCCGTCGGATTGGTTTCGGCTGGCTGGCTGATTCCGCCGGATTGGTTTCGGCTGGCCGGCTGATTCTATCGATGGCTGATTCCGCCGGATTGGTTTTAGCTGGCTGGCCGAAATCGGCTAGAGGCATGAAACGCGGACGCAATGTGTAAATATGTATATATATATATACAAAAGGTAGTTCATGGGGGGGGACCTGACCATATATATACATATATATATATGTATGCTACCCCCTCTCTATGGGCCCTGGTGTTTGTTCTGCCTTTTGGGGATGACAAATCTAGAGTCTCAAAATTTATATTCTCGAAATTTCCAATTGTGGGCTCCCAAACCCTGATAATTTGGAGCCCGGAGTCCTCCATAATGTCCCAATATGATTATCTCTTCAAATAGGAGTTACATTTAAAGGACTTCCACAAGGAAGTTCAACATACGATTTGTGTTATTTGCCTTCTGGCCCTTTTGTAGCGTAAGAAAGGTCCGACATTGACTAAAACTGTCTTGAACAGGGATTCTAGCTAAATCAGTTGTATTTAAAGTTCTACACAGGAAACAAAAATATTTTTATCTCAAAAGGTGGAGGTAGTATATGAGCAAATGTGGGCAGGTAGTTCAAAAGGGGGGGGCGACGGTGTGTGAACATACATACATATGTATATCTATATATACACATACATACACCCATATATAGTACACCTAAGAATCCTGCGCCTCTTAATAAAATGCTGGAAAATACAGTGTGTTTGAGCATTGCACCTACCTTTTTTTATCTCCTGGGAAAGGGTCAACATTAGCATAGCTGACATGAAGCTCAGCAAAAGCAGCTGAAAGTTTGTCTAACCAATAACTTGAAAGTGTTTCCACTGGATCGCTAAGCACTTGAAAGTATTTTACCACTGGATGGAAGATTCAAGATTGGAGATTACACAGAAAACTTTCCTGATAATTGTCAATCCTGGCCAAACCCAAACACCATTCAACTTATTCTAACACTTGAAAGTGGATTACCGCTGGATTGAGAATTCAATATTGAGAAGTGCACAAACAACAACTTTCTTGAGAATCATCCGTCCTGGTCAACCACTAAAAATGTTCAAGTTGTTCTAACAACGGCGAACGTATTTGACCACTGGATTGAAGATTCGAGAGTGACATATGTCACAGAAAACTTTTCCGAGAATCTTATGGCACACCGAGAGAATTGGGACAACCATGTATTTTGTATTTAACGAAAACTGGGATTCAAGATTCAAGATTCAAGATTCCCAGAAAACAATTTCTCAGATTATTGACTCTTGAATCTTGAATCCATAATTTTAAAAAAGAATGAGTTGTTCTTGTACTCTTGGATGCATTCAAACTCTTTCGGATTGCAGATGCTGATGTCATTGCTTTTATTATATCTATTTGCATGCATGCATATCATATATGCATATGGCACCCCCCCCCCCCCCCGCCCCCGAATTTTGACACAAAATCCAAGAAGCAAAAAAAGAATAAAACACTGGAAAATACAAGTCAAACTCACCAAACCAGGGTCCATGGGGAGGGGGTACAAGAAATGTATATAATATATATATATATATGCATATATGCTACTCCCCCCCCCCCCCTCCCCGTCGCTGTTTGTGTTTTGGAGATGGAATGCAGTTGCTTCATTTGGATTGCCCCATGCGACTTCACCAGCATCATCTGACCAAACCTCAGCTAAGAATAGGACAGAGGTGGATCCATGGGAGGGACTGCTTCCGTACCTGTTACAGCCACTTCAAGCCTCGTGCGGTGTTCCAACCCTTGCGCTCCTTCATGAGCTTCACCCAGGGGGCGCCGCAGATGGGCCCATACCAAAGCGCACCGTGCAGATTCCCCACAAAGGCGCCCGTGGCAATGGCGCCCAGCCCCCACGGCCCGGGAGCTCCGTCCATGGCGCGCGAGCGACGCGGTCGCCTTTTGGAGCGGCGAAACGGGGCGGGGGCGGCGCAGGCCGCTGAGCCGGGCCGGTTGAAGTGGGGGCGTCCCTTGGCTGGGAAAGGGGAAATGTGTGCTTTTTCCGACCTTGGGGGAGCCAAGCTGACCTTTTCAGGCAGTTGCTTTCGGAAACAAGTGGAGCTCGACTCGGATCCCGCGGTCTGCATCTAACTTTTGGCACCCTCTGCCCGCCCCTCGCCTTGGCCAAGGGCTGCCAAAGTTGCTGTGCGAGGCTCGCCTGCAGCTGCTGGGCGCACCTGAAGCGAGGTGTTCGGCTGGGCTTTCCGCGAACTTCCCGTCCCCTTCTTTTTTCGAGGTTCCCAAGGGTTCTCTGAAGGTTCCCTTCTGGCCAAACGGCTGTGACTTCCAACTGTGGAAAGCTACCAAAGTCGATGTCCCTCTTCACCGACTGGCAATGGCAACGACAAATCAAGTTTACTCCAGTCACTCACATTGCCCCTTGAAACAAAAAGATCTCAAACCAACCCTCAACAAGCCAGCGAGTGGTCGACAGAACATCCTGAGGATTTTGCTCAACTAACGAAGGCCCTGTTCTGAAAGAACCCCAGGGAAGTTGAGCCAAACAAGGGATGTGTCAAAATAGGACCCCCAAAATTGCTGGTTGTCCTTTAAGCCTTTCTATTCCAATTGAAACCAATCTGAAAAAAGTACCCGCAACAACAGAAGCACAATGCTCACTCCGAGTCTTCAGCCGACAAACTGCGAGCCTCTCCGGCGTGCCAACACGCTCCAGGATGTGCCTGCAACTTCCAATGTTGGCCAAGTGCGCAGTGTGTTTCCTTTTTGCAGTGGGTCAGTTGAGCAATCACAACCTAGCGCAACCAAAGCCGGTGAGAATGAAGAAGGCGGATATCCGCGCTGATTTTATGGCTACTGTCCCTAACCTACATGCCCGGAATATTGACTTGCCAGTTGACCCTGCTAGCAAAGTGGGTCGCTGCAAGCACCGTTAGTCGTTTCATGTGATCACTCCGACCTGGCGAGAACCAACGTCAAGGAAAACTTGGGAGTCCCAACGTGCTTCCTCCCAAGGAAAACTGGAACTGTTCTAGGGGTACCTTCCATTTCCGTTCTTTTCAGGGATCCTTCTTTCTAGAAAACCTCCGGAAACCCAGGGAAAACGGCCGTTTTTTGGAAAGAACGATGGTTGCAAAGAAAGGGGACTCAACCCCTAGAACTGTAAAAATAATTCCAGCGGTTTTCTTGCGGCTCGTCAAACATCCGTGCCAGGTCATGAAAACAATGCGCTTATGGTTGCCGAACTTCCCGGGGTTCATGACCATCCCTACCAAACCGGAAAACAAAATGTGTCCCGGGCAAATCAGCCGCAAATGGGTTTACCTTTGAGTCAATCCTCCCAAAAGCACGTTGGAGGATAGGGTTCCTGCACGGGTTTTGGTACAAAAATTACAACCTCATCCCCCATGTCCAGAACCCCAAAAGGATCGTATGTTAATGCACGGGCTAGGGAAACTTGCTGGGTGTGTATCCAATGGCCAATTCCCACATTGTGTCATCTTGAAAAAAAAAAAAAAAAAAACGGCACCCCCTATTTTTTTGTCTCAAAATGGCCAAGTCCCATGCAACTAATCTACCCCAGAGAAAATGACCACCTGACAGGGCCAGCGACAGATCGCCAGCGGTTCCGGGATCGGCCTGAGATCATCCTCGCTCGACACTTTGGCCGCCGAGACCTGAATTCCACCCCCTGTTCGATCAAGACGGGCATGTCCCCGAATAGGGAACCCATTCATGTTCCTTCGGTTTTCCCTTGGTTGTCCTTTGGTTTTCCTTTAGTTTCCTTTTGGTGTCCCTTTAAACCAATATATGTTTCTTGGGTTTGCCTTGGGCTTTGTGTTTGGATTCCCAAGCCAATCCGTTTGCCAACCACCACTGTTCACGGTTCAGGTGTCATCCAGTTGCCGTCGGCTGCACCCCGGGCAACGAACGAGCCCAGCCTTAAATTAACAAAGATGTGGATCGTGCTTTTAATTAAAAAAGAGGAAAAGGTGTTGTTCTTGATCTAAACAAAAAAAGAAATGCACTTGACTCATGCTTGCATCACATCGCTCCGTTCCGTCGAAAAGAGTAACCTTCAAAGCCGGCCATCCAACATCCGGATCTGGACGCCGTATGGGCACTCTGCCTTTTGGGGCCAAGGGAAAAAAGGCATGCCAAAAGAGAATTGCGGGAGCCCCCCCACCCCATATCTTGACACATACCCAAATTTACCACGCGACGCCCCATGCCTCCACGTCGAAGCCCAGCAACAATACTTCTGGGACACTCCTTGCCCGGGGAATTGATTTCGAAAGCTCATCCCACGGGATTCGAAACCAAGATGATTTGGCCAACTTGGGTGTGAATGACCCGAAATAGACATCAGAACTCGGGAGAACATGTCCACCAATTTATTGGGGGGGGTCCAACCATAAAATTGATTCCCTCCGTCTGAAAGGATTCCTGCAAGGAAGCTTGAGGCAGGCAGCATCGCGGTACATCAAGAGCAGGTTTTTTCTTGGAGGCGAGAAGTCACCGCCAGAGGCAAAACACTAGCCCCAAAGTTCCTTGTCTCCAGCAAAGCAAGGATTTGGAGCTCAGCCTACATTGCCCTCTCTTGCAGCTAGCTCCGTCCTCGGCGAAGGGCACTCCACCAGATCCTGCCAAAGCTACAGTCAGCATGTGTGCGTCTGGTCTGGTCTGTGTATGGGTATGTGTATGAGTATGTGTGTGTGTGTGAATGAGTATGTGATAACATTATTGTACGTGTGTCTGTTTGTGTGTGTGTGTGTGTATGAGTACACATGCATGTGTGTATGTGCATGGTCTTGAGGTGTATGCGTGCACCAGTGTGACTGTGCATACGCGTGCCGGTGCACGAGTTGGAGATAGGGTGGGTTGGGGAGTAGAGGTGGGCGAAGGTGGCGTCGGTATGCCTTTAACCGGTGACACCTGCCGGTGGCCTTGACCAGGGTCCAAAAGGAAAGCCTATTTTTGCTAACCCGCGCAGGTAGGTAGCATGTTTGGGGGCGCCTGTCGTGTCATGGGCTTGCTGAGTTTTGCGGTCAAGATAGTCAAGGGACTGACAGAAACCACCCGCACCACAACAGGGTCCCATCACGGATTACCAGCTCGGGCCAATCAAAAAGTCAGGTCTCAGCAGGTGGCTTTTTGGATGCATCCTTCTACCAGAACCTCTATGAAACGCCCCAGCGACGAGTCAGCTCGCAGAAGAAAAGCCCCGGCCTCGAAGCCTCCGAAGCCAGCGAGGATCCAGACCTACGGGGGTGTTTCTTTTCCCAAATGCGTAGCAGAAGTTCTAGAAAAAGTCTCCGTCCTGCTGGGAAAGACTTGCAAAACGTGTGTAACTCACTTGCCCAAAGGAAGTGCAAATAAAAGATTAACCTTTTGGGACCTCTACTAGAAAACACAAAGGGAAAACCAAAAGGACACGGTCGGCTTTGAAAACCTGAGGTGCGGTAGTTTTTTGCGATGTTGCAGGCCGTTCCGCTGCGAAGGCAGGGTGTTTTGGAAGGTTGCGCATTTGCGTCCCTGTGCCAGCGCGATTTGTGTTGCAGGAACGGTTGGTTTGATGCGTTTTGCGTGGCAGGCGCGCGCGCAAGCACTTGCGCGAGCGTCGTTTTTGCAGGCGCTGTCGCGCAATCAGCGTGTTTTGGTGAGCTGAATGTTTGTCAAAACCGGTCGAAATCATTCTGGTTTTGCAGCCCCGCGCATATGTTGGATGCGTCGTTAACATGTCAAAGTTGGAGTTCTTAGCGGGAGCTGCACTTCAGACAGTTTTGAGCTCGTGGCGCGTGACAGAAGCAGCACTTTCGAGCCTTGTGCGTCAAACTTCGTGGCAGGCGCGATACTTGAGGCGGCGCAGCATTTTGGAAGGTCGTGTGCAGATTTCTTGCTCCGCCTCCTGCTGCAGCGCTCGCATCCTGCAAAGAGACTCGCGCTGCCCGCATGTTCTTGGACGACCCACTCCGGGCAACAAGCTGCAACTCAGCTTTCTGGTCGTTCACCCAGCGAGCAAGGCTCGCATCCAAGACCTACAGCGCTGCCAACTAGGAAGCAAACAACGCACGGCGCCCCTTGGTCTTGTACGCGGCCCCAGCAGCGTTGCGTTTTCTGGCAGCCTGGAAGAGCTGTCAACGGCTGGGTTGATCTTGATCAGGCCTTCAGGCATTGGGGGGGCTCGCCTGTCCATGCAAGTCAGAAGCCTTTCCTACACATCCGTACACCTCGTCTAAGTTGAAGCCGCGGTACACGCTGAGACTTGTCAGCTGCCAGCTGCCCTGAGTGAGAACAACTGGTAGATTCCCAGGTGCGTAGCTTGATGATCAGCGCTTTTCCGCGGATTGCAGCTGCCAAGGCGCATACTGTACTCATGTGTGTGTGTGTGCACGGCGGTTGTTGCAATGGCTGTGGGGGCAAATGCCCTCGCCGCTTGCATTTTAAAGAAGCGCGGGACACTGCCTCCGCTGTTCTAGAAGACGGCAATGATGGCGCGCCTGGGGTTCAAGAGGGACCCCATCAAGGCTGCAGTCTGCAAAGCTTCATTTTTGCTGAACTCTTCTTCAGTTGCTCTGGTGAGTGCCCGCAATGGGTTATGTGTTTCGTGGGGATCGAACAGCTAGCTGGCCAAACTTCAATCAAGTTGTCAGGCGTCACAGCTCAGCGATCCCTTTGCCGCTTCGCTTGCCCCGGCTGCCAGGCGGGGCAAGCACTCGGTTTGCAAGCTGTTAGTGACGCCAAGGCGCCGGTACTCCAAGTCTTGTTGATCCTGAACAGCTTGAAGGACTTTCAGATCGCGTCAGCCATCTCTGCTGCCAAGAACTTGGCCATGTAAGGGCCCATGTGAAGACTGGTAGGGAGAGAAGTTGCGAATGCCTTGCAATAGCTGGCAGGGTCCGGGCGCCAACGTGAGCGGCACTCGTCAACCACGTAAGGCCACGCCACAAGAAGCAACACCGCTGAGACAAAGACTCGGCCCCACTCGGCCCCATGGTCTCGTCCACGTGCACAACAACACTAAGAGGAACCGCCGTCCGCGCAGCCGCCACAACACGCTCGTACCAAGGGCCAAGATTGCGTGACTTTTTTACTACGAGAAGCTTTCATTCCCCACTCGCGATACTCCCACCCGCCCGTGACAGCCTGCCTCGACGTTTTTTGGCACGCTGACTTCTCGCGCGGGGGCGCAGAACTCCAGCTCGATAGGAAGGTGCGTTTCTTCGGCGGCGCCCAGCACATTCTCCCACACTGCGCTCCTTGCTCTCTACGAGGTTGAAGTCGTGCGTGGGTGTGGGCGCCGAAATATCGCAGAAGCTGTTCTTAGACAGGGCAACGCGACAACTTCTGTTGCTGAGTTATCACAGGTTAACACCAGGCGCTTGCCGAGACATGTTGCTGCTTGTTTGTGTTTGTCCCGCGACCGTCCTCCACTACGTCTGATTTTTTCACGAGCTCAAGTTAATAGACCCAAACCTGTGACAATTTGTTTAGGGAATTCCGAAAAGTGGAAAAGCAGGCAACATCTACACCTTCATGCTTTCGAAGTTGTTTATCTCTTACACGACGACAGCCCCGCCAGACGGTCTTCATGACCGATGGGAAAGGGACCAGTGGTACCCCTAAACACTCTTTTGTCTCCTTTGCCGTTCTGGCGGGTACGCTTCAGCTACCATTTGCCTGGTGTGTGGGCAGTGCTCCCAAAACCCCACCAGAGCATGACTCTTAAGTTTTACATACAGATCGAGATAGATAAATGGATAGATACATGGATGGATGGATGGATGGATGGAAGGAAGGAAGGAAGGATGGAAGAAAAAAGGAAGGAAGGAAGCAAGGAAAAAAAATTGAATGGATGGATGGATGGATGGATGGATGGATGGATGGATGGATGGATGGATGGATGGATGGATGGATGGATGGATGGATGGATGGATGGATGGATGGATGGATGGATGGATGGATGGATGGATGGATAAATGGGTGGATGGATAAATGGGTGGATGGATGGATAAATAGTTAGATTAGGTAGGTAGATACACCAATGTACAAATAGATGCATGGATGAATAGGTAGGTGGATAGATAGACAAATCAATCTGTTAATAGGCAGGTACATGGATAGGCAGAGACATAACACAAATAGACATGCCACAGTAGCTTTAGGTAATTAATCTCCCTTTTGGCCTGATCAATTGGAAGATCGGCCAAGAGGTTGAAGTCAAGAGACATTTTTTTCCATCGATAGCAACTTCGTTCGGAAAGGCAAACCGCCGACTCTTCGGTGAAAATGCCGGCCATGGTTCACTTCCGGTTCTCCCAAAAAATCGGAGCAGTTGAAGCGGAGTCAACTGCCCGGCTCTCAAGGTGCCAACTGCGTGGGGTTTCTCCGCCGGTTTCTGCGGGTTGAGGCCTCATTGGAGCCCACGGCCAGATCGGTCTGCATGGGTTCCTCCAGCGAAAGGAACCTAAGTTTCTGGTTGCAAGGCTTCAAAACGCCCAGAGTCGCCGAAAGTTGGCCTGGTCTTCCCTTCTTCCAGCTTGATTTCTTCTCAGCGGGGTGGCATGATAAGTGCAAGCCCGCAAAAGAGAATCATGTATCTATGTTGGCAGAGCGCTGTTCATGCATGAATCAAAAAATCAAGCCATGCCGCAGTTTCATGACTTGGGACCGCCTTGCGGGCGTTGGCGGCGAGCAAAAGCTCCGGGTTTTCCTTTCGGCGTCCCGTTGAAGTCAGGGTGGGGCCAACCAACTGCTTGTCACTGCTTAAACAACCTCCTTTTAGATGTGTCACTTTTTAGGGGACCCTGGGAAAAGTGCGGTTTTCCTTTTGATTTTCCTTCAACACACCGACACAAAGAGTATTTTCGACCCTGTCTTGCCCATGTCAACGTCTGCCGCGGCACCACTCGAAGTTGCACCAGGCGCGCCGGAAGGCACCGCCAGCCGCGTCCAGGCAGATGAGGAGTTTCCCCGCCACGCCCAGGGCACACCGAATGCCTGCGGCGTGGGACAGACCCCAAACGTCCCAAAACGCAAAGGCCACGTCCCCGCCGAAAAAGTCAGCAAAAGCTCGAAGCTGCAGTTCGAAGTTGGAGCACGACTACCTCCGTACTCGAATTGTTTCAACCCCGCTGTGTTAGGAACCAACGCCTGCTTTTTTGACTAGCTGCCTTTCGCAGTTTTGGGAGCCAACACCTGAGCAGTGCCCGAAACCTGTTGTCTGTTGACTGTAGGTTCTACCAAGCTGGAAAAAACATATTGATTATATATTTATATAATGTATTATGTAATATAGCCCATATTGTACCCCTCCCACTTCAGGTGACCCAATAGGTTTTGGGCGCTCACCTGAGCTGGGGGTTGGCTGAGTGAAGCGACGATTCAACCTCTTGCTTACCCTGTACCATTGTGGATGAAGCAACCTTGGGCCGGCCCCGATTGCCAAGAAAAACCTGGTTGTTGCTTTTTACTTTTGACCACTGTTTACACAACCTCTCTTTTTTCGGGGCTAGTGGTTTCAGCAAAAATGCTGCCCAACCCCTTCGGGCCCTGGTCTTGTGAAACCTGCCTGCTTCTACGGCCTCCGCGTTCATATCGTGCTGGCGCTGCGAGAAAGCACCTGACGGTCGGCATGCCACGAACTCCGGCCGGATGTGTTTCGCTACTTGCAAATGGACAACATGTTGCACGTATGGACACTGTGAATACTGAGCTGCTCGCCTGTGTTTTCTACATGGAAGCTGCAAAGCCCATCCAGGAACGGAATGTCCGTTGAACCCCTTATCAATCGTGCAAGCCATTCAAACATCATCGCTTTCGCACGGAAGGGCAGTCGTATGTTGCGCCGTCAGCCTACTTGTGAGATGCAAATCCAAGCTCTACTAGAGATCGTCACAACTCCAAGAGCCTCTGTCCACTACGAGAAGAAAACGTACCCCCAGTGCCCCCAGTGCGTCTGCCAAAGGAGGCCCATGTCAGCGCTTTGAGAAAGCAATCATTGCATTGGCACACACATCTGTGAATGGCCAGAGTGAGCTGAGGTATTGACGAACACCTCTAAATTGGTTGCATCTTGCAAGTTCAAGCAGCGATTCCCCGCCACATCTGTACAAGTATGGTTGCATGGTTCCCTGCTGCAAGCAAACGCGACTTCAAGCTGACTCGCGAGTCGCACTGGGGAGTCTCCTGTGTCCCAGGTGTGTTGGGAGATTTTGGGTACGGGTTCCGGTTGCTTTGCCAGGCACCCAGCCAGTAGGCCGCTTCCCCACGCAGCAAGGTGTGTTCCTCAATGATGGCCAGCACCTCCACGTATCCTCAGCTCAACAGGTCCAGAAGTGCATCTGAGCAATCAAACGAGCGCCCGGCTTCACCCGTAGAGTTTTGGCTCCACCTATACAAATGTTGTGTATATGGGCCTTACCAAATAATCCTTGTTAAACCTAGCAGAACCACTTAAATGGCGTTCGGCACTCGTTTAATCACCATCACACTCAAAACCTGTTGTTAAAATGATGACAGCTTTCCACGCCTCACGGTGGCAGTGGATTGAAAGGCAAACCTGGTGCGAATCATGGACACGGACAGGGCTTTGGACGACTTATACCCTCGACTTCCATATGTGTTGGTTTTCTGGTTCAAACTGCCCCCTACCTTCATCTTAGGAGTTCATTCTGACATGGCAGAAGCGCTGTGCCCGGCAAGCAGGTTGAGGTGTCTTTTGTTGGTGTTTTCTCCCTACGGCTGGTTTTCCGCAGGGCTGGCAACATCCCCGGCATCACCAGCGTGAGTTGTGTGCGAATTTTGGTGGATTGGGGCAACGCTCCAAAACCAATCCTGAACGAGACCAAAACTCCAACCACATCCCAAAAGCAACCCTAAAGGCACCGTTTTTCCAGCAGCACACCCAACACAAATCAGCTCCATGCCAGCCTGGATGTCAGCCCTAAATCAACCCAAACCACCACAAGACCAACCCGAATCAAGATCTAAGCCAGCCTAACCCCCCCTTAACTTAAATCAGGTCCCAGCAACTCCCAACTACCTTCCAAATCGAGCCAATGAACAACTCCCCGGCCAATTGAGGCTGGTGATGTCGGGGATGCGGCAAGGCAACCAACCAACCAACCAACCACCAACCAGCCAACCAACCAACCAACCAACCAACCAACTAACCAACCCACCCCTAGTAAAAAAGACAGCCCTGGGAAATAAAAAAAAAAAACACCGGATCCCCGACAAGCAAGGCAAACAATAACCTGGCCTGGCAACAAATGACAACTGCTTCCACTCCACGGATTGCGCTTCATTTCTCCGCCTCTGGACCCAGCATTCCAATAGGCAGCGGACTTGTTTGGCAGGCTCTCGAAGTTCCATCTGCGTCTCTCCCCTTGAAAACCCTCTCTGCACCTTCTGGTTGCGCACCAACCCCTCCTGAAGCATACGGAATTTCGGTGGCGCTTTTCAGCACATCCCTCCAGTTCCCCGATCCCCATGCCCAGCAAAAGAAAAGGGTGCAAAACAGTTCCCAACCCCACAGGCCCACAATTCCAGCTAAGACGAGTCGTGGCAGCCTCCAAACCCCCCAAACCCCCCCCAAACCCCCCAAACCCCCGCCCTCCCGGCCACCAGCCGCTCGCTCGCTCGCCCGCGCGGTCGCGCCGCTCGCCAAGGCGCGCTGGGCCCAGGCGTGGCTGGCGAACCACCCAACTTTCTGCGGCGCCAGCGTCTCTGCCAGCGCGCAGCGGTGCTCCTGGCCCGCCCCGGCGCCAGAGCGAGATGCCGGAATCTGTGTGTGTGTGTGTTACTTGTGTGAGTGTGTGTCTCATAAATGTGTATGTGTATGATAGAGAGAGAGAGAGACAGGAAGAGAAAGAGAGAAGAGAGAGAAAGAGAAAGAGAAAGAGAAAGAGAAAGAGAAAGAGAAAGAGAAAGAGAAAGAGAAAGAGAAAGAGAAAGAGAAAGAGAAAGAGAAAGAGAAAGAGAAAGAGAAAGAGAAAGAGAAAGAGAAAGAGAAAGAGAAAGAGAGAAGGAGAGAGAGGGGGGGAGGGGTGGAGGAAGGGAGGGAGGGAGGGCATCCAAACCCGTGCACGCGAGCATGTATTCATGTCAATGTGTAGCCTTCTGTGCTGAACGTTTCAGTGGATCCGCGGGATTGAATTGATGATTGTTGGCTTGTCGCGAAGAAAGCCCTGAGCAGCCGATTACGGCGAAAGTTGATGCCTGAATGTCAGCCGAGAGCAAAGTCACGTTGCATTTCAATACCCGTGGTCCTTCGTTGCTGGCTTCACCTGTGAGCAGCCACATTGGCGTGATGTGTCAACTCCAAGGCACTGAATCCAAGTACTTTGCATGGAAAGCCTCCCTGATTGACTCTCTCTACCGAGCAATACAACCAAGATGATGGCAAGGGGCCAGCCAGGCAACCAAGTGGTAAAAGTTGAGCAGCTCAGTGGTGAGCATTTGGCCAGCACTCGCAGAGACCTCGCAGGTGGAATCCGCCCCTGGAATGCAAAACGAGCCGAATTGATGGAAAGGGGGTGCAACCCCCAAGAGTGATCCGAACCCCCTGAATGGGTTAGCCGCTCCCCTGATCAAAAATCAACCAGAGGTTTACTAATCCTTTATTTGACATGAGCAACAAGCTGTGAGAGATTCTTGGGAGCACACTCCTTGCACTGGAGACGGCCATCGATTTTGCCCGTCCATATGTTTGCCGTGACGTGCTACCCATCAAAAGCAAAGCACATCGGCCATGCGCCTCGCTGGGAAAGAAGTCCCACCAGTGAGAGCAGCAGGTCTGAGCATACAGCTTCACCTTTTTGAGCCTTAGAGCCCCCAAAACCCGTTGACTCTTGGTCCTACCTGCGTGGGTGTTTTGAGGCTTATAGCGACAATTGATTCTACCAAGATGGTCATAAAGGCGTATATAGGTGTGTGGGTTTGTGTCAAAATGAAAGCCAACCTAAAAATTATGGATTCCGTTCTGGATCCCCGCTAGAAAGGGTACCGAGCTTTAAAAAAGAACATGGAGTGCCCGGTTCACCCTCACAGAATGGCCGTGGTCAACAATAGGTACCGTCCATGTCCTGGTGGTTTAAGTCGACCCAAACCTGAATCATGAAACCTGTTGATTCAGCTCGGTCTGCCCGAGAGAATCCCTTCCTCCTAGGAAGGCCGCCCCGATTCCGCGTGGATTCGGGTGAACACGGCGGCAACAGTAGGTGGGCCCAGAGCCTCTCGAGCCCAGAAACGACTCCAAAATGGTTCTCCTTTTGGTTTCCTCCCAAAAAAAGAGGCAAACCCAGCTAAAAATAGAAAGCCACACCCCAACACTGGCTGATCTCCGTTTGATGTCAAGTCCTGGGGTTCCGTTCCTCCGAAAAGCGCGGGACCTCCAATGAATGAATCAACCAAAGCTTTGTTCATCTGCCAAAACTAGACCATAGACCCACCGAAGGCCAGCGGTTGGCAAAAAAAACACGGCTGATCCATCTCATACAACTTACTGTCCCATGGGTTTCCCTTAGGAAAAGAAGCGCCCGCGGTTGGAATTTCTGTCGAGGAGCTGCTTGGAAGTGATGCCTCGAAGCTCGGGCTCCACAAGGCCTCCCACTTCCGAGGCAACAAGCGAGGCTTTGGGGAAAATGAGCGGGCCCTCCCACAAAGTTTTCTGTGGAATCCGAAAAGGGGGTGCCTCAACAGGGGATTCGGCCAAAAATGGCCGGGTTGTTAAGTTCCATGTTGATTTGTAGAGGAGTTTCTCAAAAGGATGGGGTCTGCTGTACAAGCTCTTTGCAAGTTGCTCCGCGCAAGTTGCTCTGTGCATGTTGGTCCAAGCACTCCACACAGAAGAACCCTTTGCGATGCTTTCGGGAAAAAAACAAACCGTTTTCGGTCTCAGCGCTTATCCAAAGACCCATGCTGCGAACAACTTCCTCTCAGCTTGTCAAACTCGTGGCCCTTGCCTTGGAAAGGGAACATCTGCCGAATCGCCGCCACGTTGTGCACCTGCGGTCAAAATGAGCTCTTCCCCAAAGGACACGGGAAGTTTAGTGAATCCCCTCCCATGTTCCCAAATGGGTCATAGACCACCAGCAATTTTGGCCTCACCTCAACTCGGGCGCGCCAAGGCGCGAAACAGGAGCCCAAAAAATCCCAGACCACCGGAACCCAAGAATCCAAAGGAGGATGTTCAAAACAACACGTGCAACGCTCACCAAAGCCAGGCCGCGGAATCCGGGTTCGCGTAGCGGGAGGTTTCGGTGGAGTTCGCCATGGCTCCCAGAGCTCGGTATGCCGCTTTGAGGCGTTATTGTTCTCCTTGGTTGGTTTGAAGGGAACCCCTTCAGGAAACACCCCCAGCTTGGGGGTGTCCGTATCTTGCCGCATAGGGTTTGGACCTCCAAAATGGGGCGGGGGGTATGTTTTGTTTGGTGTCCCTTTCCTACTTCGGGCGACTTCGAACTCTATGGAGGACTTGTCCTTGAGTACAAGGCCCATATCCGCGACCCCATCTTGCCAGGATCTGCTTGTCGCTGTGTCTCAAGCCGAAACAACGGAGTGTGACTTTTTGAGAGTACCCATGTTGGCGGTGTTTTAATGGGGCACCTGAAGGAAACGCACATTCTGAGGTTTCCCAATTTGAAGACACACGCAATAGAAGCTCCAGCTCAGGTTCATCTTCCGCGCCGAGAAAAGACCATCGGCTGAAGCGCGCCAGGACATGTGAAGGTGTCTGAAATTCCCTTTGACGCGACCCTCAAATGGGGTAACTCAACAAAAACAGACACCCGCAACCCATATCCAACAAACCCTGAGAGAACGGGTGGTTCCTGAAGAGAACGAGTGAGGAGAACGGAAAGGTTTGGATTCACCATTGAGAACATTTGGCTGTTCTTTTTTGTGCTTTTTATCGCCGACACTCGCCGACCCAAGAGTGCCCAAACGTCCTGGGCTTCCTGGGGCGAACTGCCCACCGCAAGGCGCGGCCCATAGACCAGGTCCGCAAACTCCTCGTATGTAATCGCCTGGGTCCGCAAGTTGCGTCTCTGTCAACGCAGGATGTCGGTTCATGGTCTAAAGTGCTTAAGGGCTCCAAGATCATCCTTGCCCACAACATCAAGTGCATCCTTCGCACCGGCTGGGATGGATGAAGCCCGAAAACACCTTGATGAAGTGCCTACCTGGTGCGAAAAATGTTTAAAAGTTGACCTGGGAGATAGCAAGTCCCTCGAAACCGCCATGAACCATAGCTTGGTAGTTCTGACCGAACCTGTGTCAAAGAGAGGCCTTCGGCACCCGGAATGGCGACTTCCCTTTGGTTTCCCCTGAAACCAACCCAAAGGATAGAGTACCGAGCCTCAACAAAAACACACACCCACTTGTTCCCCCATCCTGAGAACCCACAATCGGAACCAGCTTCCGGGAAAGCCGTGTTGCCTCAAACCCCTGCCTGGCACTCGCCAGAACCCCTTCAAGGGTTTCCGGCGGCTTTCCCCAGCTTGCTAAAAAAAGGATGCCCTGCCTCGGGAAACCAATCTCCATCTGAGCATGGTCATCCCGTACCCCCAGTGAACATGCCAATCCCCACCCCAATAGGTTTTAAACTGGGTGGTGAATTTACCTACCCCAAAATGGTACCGTTGGTTTTGACAACCACAGCCATCTGACCAGCTAGTCGTTGTTGCCACTGACCTCCAATCTCAATGTCAGGTCGAGCCTCACCTTGCAGGCCGGTGCCTTCAATGCTCCGGCACTCAGTGCCCGGCTCCTTTGCTGTCCCGGTCGACCGCCTGCACCGAAACAAATGGAGGGCATGTCTGGTCACGTCCAAAGACAAGCGAGCAGGACAAGGAGTGGAAAAAAACACGACATGGATCCATGGAGACGTTCCTGTTGGCACTTACCAAACCCCATCTTCCCAGTGAAAAATTGGATCATTGAAACTGTGAGATGCGGACAGGGAGCCCATTGCCAGTCAATTTCACGTCAGATACTACCTCCATATTGCTTACCGCAATTCCAAACCCTGCAATGAAGGCATCCCCAAAACTGTCTCGTGTCGGTCCTTGACCAGGATGTCGCACTCTTTCTCATTGACCTTGATTCCCATCCTTACGAAGCCAAGCGTCGGAAATGGCTGACCTTCGTCCAAATTTGATCGACACCCCCTGGGTGGCTGTTCTTCAAATCCCCTCTCAGACCAAAACAAGACACACCTTGAATTCTCCTTTTTCAAAGAAGAATCCCTTGAAAAATCCCCCATTGAAGTTCCTCCCATGTTTCCGCACAATGGGGATTTGGTTGCTTGCCGAGGGAAATTCAAAACTGTCGCGGTTCGGAATGCTTGGAATTTCTGAGGGCGTTTGGGCACCCCCGGTCGACTTCACCAAGCTGCTGATCGAAGACCTGCTTCAGGTCCTGGCCACTGCGGGTGACGAGCTCGAAAAACGCCAAAGGTGTGCGTGTGTTTGTTGTGTTTGTTTGATGTGTTTGTTTGCGTGTGTTTGTTTGCGTGTTTTTTTTTGTTTTTTTTTTTGCGTGTGTACGCGTGTGTATTGCATGTGATCTCGTGTCTGTGTGTTTGTAGCTCAGCGGATCCGCTGCGCGGAACCGGCATGAGAGTGGAAAATGTGTGTCGCTTCTTGAAGTCGCCGTCCACTTCAAGTAGGACAACTAAACGGGTAATTATGTGTCAGTTTAGGGTGCCCCACAAGACTGCGGTTCCAAATAGACCCCCATGTTTTGGTGGTGGTTCCCTTCACCAAGGTGACAAGCATACAAGTTTGAACCCGCGGTCCCGAGGAAACACGTAGCCGGGCTTCTGCATGGAGCAGGCACGGAAAACATTCATCAGGCGCGGCCTGCGGCGAATACAAAGCTCGTGCGCCCGCAAACTGTGGGAGTGAGGAGCGAAAAGGAACGCAAAAACCAAGCGACTAGTATCAGACCTTGGACCAACAAGCAAACAAACAAACACATATTGGCATTTATTTGGATGCTGTATAGCAATATTGAACAAACAAAGAAACGCGCAAACAAACAAACAAACAAACAAACAAACAAAGGAAGCAAAGGAAGCAGCACAGAACCTCCAGCAATGAGTGCATGCCTATAAAACAAACAAACCTCCGCTCTACTGGACTTGGGTGAGATGGGAATCTGGGCCTTTGCTAGCTGCTCTTCAAATGGTTTCGCAAGGAAACCGGTCCCAGTAGTCTTGTTGGACTGATGCTGGCCCACTTCCCCGGACCCACTTTGGACTAAGGCACCAGGATTCAGTCCGTCAAACTCCAAGGACTAAGGCTCGCGGGCAGCTCTCCCCAACCCCACCTTTTTCATCCGTCAAGGGCCTCCCAGGATGTCGGGTATTGGGATTGAAAAATCGGCCTTCTTGGACGCCCCCCTCACAACCATAGAACCCGAGTCTTCCTCTTGGAAGGCTTTTTATTCATCATTGTTCTGGCCAATTTACTTGCTGCCTTTTGCTTCCCCTGGAGCTTTCCATAGGACCCGGACCCAAACAGCGCTCGGTCTCTCTGAGCGCGCGCCTGCCGGCATAGCGCTGGCGCACCACCTGCCGGATGCGCTGCCTGGCGAGCGCGGAGGCGAGCGCGCTGGGCGGTGCCCTCTGGCCGAATTCCCGAGATTTTGCTAAGAGATGTCAATGGGAAACACAGACCCAAATCTGTTGACCTCCATGTCCCAACTGTCCAAAGAGCCACGACTTGACAGTCCAGCCGATGTCTTGATGCGGATTCCTCGCCGCGGTGCGGTGCTTCTTCATCAAGTCAGTCGGCGCGACACACGGGAGATGGCATCTGCATCCAGCGGCGGAGGGTTGTAGAAATCAGGCAGGTGCGCCTGTAGATGCCACAAGGAAGCTTGTTCTCATCAGGACAAGCAGACAGAAAAGGAGACATTGATGTGCATTTGCAAATGGGTATGTGTCAAAAGGTGGACGCCCCAATATGGTGGTTATCCATTTGGTGTCCATTGAACACCATCCCAAAAAGGGTACCGAGCCTCAAAACATAACATAACCCAGGTGCATGACTTCTGCCAAGAGACAGGCCGCACTTGAAAGTCATTGTCTGGCTCCTCGCTGACCTTTCAACAGGCAAACTTTGGAAAGGGCACCATGACATGCAAAAGTCAACTGAGGTCAAAGCAACAAGCAGTCATTTTGGTCTGGGGCCAAATCAGGAAGCCTTTCCTTTCAAGGTGAAAAGGGCGCAAAAACACAAGAAGCACACACACACACACACACCGAGATCCACCAGCACCAAAGCAGCACTAAGCCGAGCACTGCGTCAATCAAGCTTCTGCCTGGATAGTACTCCTCTTTGTCCTCAGCAATTCAGGACAACACTTTTCCGCAAGTAAATTCAGGTGGCACGGGCAGTTTAACCCCCCGAAGCTTGATGTTTGTCGAGCTCGCAAAAGTGGATGACTCATTCACCAAGTCAACCATTTGGGTGTGTCTTGATCCAGACACCGACAAAAGGTCACGGTGTCCTTTTGGCTTCACTTCTTTCACCACTCCAAAAGGGGTACCGAGCCTCAAACAAAGAGGACCAGCCATTCATCAAAACTTCTTGAAGGCACTGCCAAATGGGGGGCCAACGGATGACTTGTTTGAACCATCCAGACTCTTTTTTGGTCTCCCTCCGATTGCCTAAGCAACTGGCCCACTTCCAGTTCCAAGCCCAAGCGGCGAAGTAAAGAGGGTGGGTGCGCCCCTTCGCTTCGCTGTCAGGGGTCGCCACGTCTTCCGGCCTTCTCACCTTAGTCCATGGGAGTGAAAGCCTGGTACTGCCGGGGTTCCCAAGAGTTCCCCTTTGAACCTCCTGCCCCAAAAAAGGCACCCACTTCAAATGGCCCAAGGTGATAGCTGGAGCCAGGAAAAGGAGAAATATAGGGAACCCCTGACTGAACTGGCATGTAAACGACCTAAATTGCCCGTTGCAGCAATGGTTGGGACTTCCTCTTAACCTTCACTTACCCGAGCTTTGATTGACAAGTGAGAAAAGGAAACAGCTAACTCATTTGGGTGTGAGTTAAAATTCCTACGCGTTTCAATCACTTCCTCAGGTCCTTGCTTCAAGCTGACACCAAGCTTTCAAGCTGCCCAAAAGGCAGGTTGATTCTGGGCTTTGCTCAGGTTCGCGCCGTGCGCATCAGGCGGTCTTTGCCTTAGAACGAAATCGCCTAACATTGCGCGGGACCCTGACCGCCCAGTAAGCTGCTAGCTCCATATGCTAATGATCGGCACACTTTACAGAAAACTCAAAGCGCGGCCCTTCCATTTGGTTGCCATGCAGCTAGCCCCACTAGCCGGTCATACATGGGGGTCCAAACGGTTCCTTGCTGAGGCTGCATTAGCTTTTGCTTATGGACAAACAGATCACAGCATACATACACTGCTTGCCTTCGCAAGATGTCAGCATCCACCGACCTGCCTGGGCTGAAATAGGCTTGCTGCCTAGCGACACCCTCCAAACCCCTTTTGGTTGGCCACTCGCACTGGTGAATCGCACAAGGGGGTTCAATTCACACTGAATCCACGCTCCAAGCGCGACACCTTTGATCTCGCCCTGGATCTTGTGCGACTCCATGGAATTCCACGTCTCTCCTGAGACGAGTCGCATGCAGTCAAGGCGTTCGGAATCGGATCCAGCCGTCCTTCGTCCCTTTGCAGCGGTGCCTGCTCGTAATGCCTCACGGTCGCAAATGCAAGCCGGACACTCTCGGATTGCATCCCCAGGCTTTGCAGAATCAACAGAGTTCTCCAAAGGATACATCCGAACACCACCTGCTTTACAACTGTGTGTGGACACATAGGACCCACTCCAAAGACAAAGTCGGATCCAAACACCTAAGGCTCTTCAAACGCCTGGTTGTAGTGCGGGGTCCTCTGCGGCAGCTGGTAGAGGTGATGGACAGAATGTGGGTGTCTCTCAAAAATTATGCTCCCCCCTTTGGTGTGCTTTCAAAGGGAAACCAAAAGGAAACCAACCCCCTGAATCTTGACAAACATCGGAATAGGGAAGCCTCCAAAGTTCTGTGTGTGCTTTTCTTTCACTTGCCTTTAAGACCACCCACAAAGCCGACGTAGTCTCCAACGGACCCTTTTCTCAGCCTGAGGTCGTCACGGCGCCTCATACCAGTGCCTCGCATTCCATCGCCTCGGAGGTCGGAGTTATCTGGAGACATCGAGGCCAACGGGACAGTACACTGAAGTCCTAACAAAGAGCACTTGCCTAGAAAACAAACAAAAGAAACAAAGGAACGAACGAACAAACGAAGGAAGAAGGAAGGAAGGAAGAAAGGAAGGAAGGAAGAAAGGACAAAAGAAACAAGGAAAGAGTGAAACGAACAAAGAAGGAAAAAGGGAAGGAAAAAAGGAAGGAAAAAGAAAAGCAACGAAACAATCGAAGAAATAAACAAACAAATTACCAAACAAACAGCTCCGTTAGTCCAAAACGGCAAGATTGCAATTGACTTCTTGGCATGTTCTTTGACACAGGCCTTGTTCGAACCATGGCTTAAAAACCACCACACTGTGTAAACAACCTCGTTTTGGCTCCCTGTTCAAGAGCGCCAAGGGTTGAAACCACCTCATGTCGGTCTTGAAACCCGGTGGAACAACTTCTTTGGGCTTCCCTCTCTCTCCCTCTCTCTTTTACCGGGAAGCTCAAGATAGAAACTAACTGGTACCAATTGGAACCCTGGTAAGTGGAAGCATGGACCAAAACCTGTGTACCCCCTCGTGTTTAATTTTGAGCCACACCCGGTTGTTCTTTCATTCAATCGCCATGAACACCCGCGTTCAATCAGCGCCAAGGCACGGAGCTGGCTTGATCTTTTTCCTCGGCTTCTTGGGAGAGGAGAGCTCCTGAATCCATCGCATCCCCGAAGATCCGAAAGAAACACTCCGACAACGGCGCCGGATGCTTTGTTGCGACCCCCAAGCGGCTTTCGGGCCAAAAAAGACATGTAACAAGGCGGTCGGGGCTTTGCCCAAAACACCGGAAAACAAGCTCTGTCAAACTGTGGTTTCTAGTTGTAGGTCTGATTCCCCTCCCCAAAGCACTGGTTCTGACTCTTGCCCAATCTGAGATCTGCATGCCTGGGTCTTGAGAAAATGTCCACAGACAAAGCCGAACAGTCTCACGCCTAGTCTGTCTGTCTGTCTGTCTGTCTGTCAGACAGTCAGTCAGTCAGTCAGTCAGTCAGTCAGTCAGTCAGTCAGTCAGGCAGACAGGCAGGCAGGCAGGCAGTCAGTCAGTCAGTCAGTCAGTCAGTGAGTCAGCCAGCCAGCCAGTAGTAGTCAGCCAACTCAATGCGACTCAACTCAACTCTCACATCAGGTCCGTTCAATATGTCAAAACAAGCCGTCCCGTAAGTTGCACACATCATGCCGCAACCACGAGGCCTATCACCCTAGACACACATCATCAGCTGTCTTGATCTCACAAATCTCATCACCAACTTGAATTGCATTGCAGGAAATCTGCCTTGTCTGCCTCGTAGAAGTCTTCCATCAAGAGCCTATCAGCCTATGTCTGCATCCCATAGGCGACCTTGTTTTCCGATCCAAGGTGACAACTAAAAACCACAGGGCTCCCCATCCCCTTTTAAACATCAAAAGGAAACTCACTTTGCATCGACCCAACACGTGATGTTCACAACCAAAGGGGACCAACCAAAAAACAAAGGCACCCAAAAAGAACCCTATCAGCAAAAGGAGCCCTGTTGGCCCCAAATAACAGCCTTTTTCCTTTTTCGTCGCGAGGAACGCCCCCGTCGCCCCTATCACCCCTATCGCCCCTATCACCACTATCACCCCGACGGTGGACAACAGCATCACCCCATCGCCCCTATCACCACTTTTGCGTCCCATCGCCCCGCCAGTCGCTTCAAAGGTTTGCACTCTGAATCACGAACAAAAAAACCCTGCGTCCTGCCTGTTTGGAATGATGCATGAACCCAAAGGAGACCCAACCCCTCTTGCACGCAAAATGGTGCCTGTGCAACTCCTTTTGCCATGTGCCTGATGCCCCTCCGTCCTGCGCGAGTCCTCCCTTCGTCAGGGTAGGGATAGTGGAATCCAACACCTCGGGGTGCCACAAGCTTCTCGTTGTTTCTTGTCCGTGTTTTTTTTTCGGAAGCCCGAAATGGGTCGAGCGGTTGGTTGTGAAACACCCTACGGGTTTGGCTGCTTTTGCCAAGGGTGTTACCCAATGTTTAATGGGTTTGGTAGGTTTTAGCCAATTCTAATGAGTTTGGCCGGTTTTACCATGGGCTTTACATGCAATGTTCATGAAATTGGTTCATGCGACAAATTAATCCCACTGCGCGGGAGACGAAAGCCAAGCTGGGACGCAGCTGAACATAGAGGTCATTCTAATGGGATACTACACACATTGTTGTCTTTGCAAGCGATCAGAACCTGATGAGAACCCATTCGGGTCTGACAGCAAGCGAACTTGCAACAGCATGGTATTGGTCCACATCTTCTCCATGGATTTGGCATCCAAACACCTTGAAAGGCGCTGGATGTCACAAACATCCGAGGAAGCTTCCTGGATAAGCCCGCTACGATCCACACAGCAGCTGTGGCGACACATACAATAGCTCAAGGCAGGATTCACTGCTTTCAAGAGCAAACCAATATTGCTCCACTTTGCCGTCTTTGGCACACGTGCAAGAAACACCTGCAGCTGGAACCAAATCGGTCGAACATGGAAAGGGGCTGTGAGCCGTGAAGTGGCTCAGCCATGTTTGGCGGTTGATCAACACCCCTCGGTTTCGCCATGGTCCGAAGTCTTTGAAGTAGAGGGGACAAACAAATATTAGGTATGTTCCTTCTCTGGTTCTTACTAAGTTATCAATGAGAGAACCCTGGACTCTAAAACATCTCTCGAACAGCTCGTGACCCTTCTCCCTGCCCCATGCTGCTTGGGGTTCGGGCTGCTTGAGACTCTGCAGCCTTCGCGGCGCAATGGTCACACGCGCTCTCCCTCACTCTCTCTCCCGCTCTCTCTCCCTCTCTCTCCCTCTCCCTCTCTCTGTCCCCTCTCTCTCTCTCTCTCTCTCTCTCTCTTTCTGTTGTCTTTGAGACTTTGGGCACGGCATCAAACAACTAAGCCCTGTTGGTTTCTCCAAGTCAAACCCGGGACTTCCTTCTTGCAAATCTGTCTCTCACCGCGTTTCGGCTTCTGGCCTCTTTCGCCTTGATCTCCTTGCGTATCCGAGTCGTCTCCCGCGGGTCTGACCTGGGCACCGCACTTGTGGCTCCACACCAGCGGAACGTTGCAACGTGGAACCTGAAAGGGACCCCGTGGTTTGGACCAGTGTCCTCAAAACCATGAACCCTCTTGCACATCTCATCTTGTCTTTTGGGGGAGGGTTTGTTTTGATTCCCTTTCAGGAGCATGTTCCTAGCCGCAACAACAAAAAAACACCCCACCCCCTCCAACACATGTCCAGTTTTGGCCCATTTGGGCTTCCCGACAGCTGGGGGGGCCGGTGCGCTTGGGGCGGGGGTTTTGGGGGGTCTGGTTGCCAAGTGGCTTGGGCTGTCGGTAGTCGTGGCCCGGCAGCTTGGGCGAAAAGTCCTCGCTTCGGATGCAGATACATGGCAGCGGTGTCTTTTGGGGTGTTCGTTTTGGGGAGGGTGGGCAAGGGGAACCAAAAAAAATAACCTTTTTTTGGGGGGCGCCTTACAACAAATGACATCTGTGGGGGCCGCCAAACACAGAAAGACCCATTTTTGCAGGGGAGAAGCTGAGGACGGCTTCGTCCCATCGCGTCCTGGTTGCCAGTGCCATTGGCCAAGGACGGAACCTGCGGATGGAACGCTCGCGGCGCGCGGCGCGCGTCGCTTCAGAGGGACAACCACAACGAATCCGCGAAGAAAAAAAAAAGAAAAAAAACACTCAGCAGAACTCTGTGTGTCTGTGACAAAACTGCAGTATGGGTGTTTTTGTTTCTTGTTGAGGTTGAAACGCAAACAACAACAACAACAACAACAACAACAACAACAACAACAACAACAACAACAACAACAACAACAACAACAACAACAACAACAACAACAACAACAACAACAACAACAACAACAACAACAACAACAACAACAACAACAACAACAACAACAACAACAACAACAACAACAACAACAACAACAACAACAACAACAACAACAACAACAACAACAACAACAACAACAACAACAACAACAACAACAACAACAACAACAACAACAACAACAACAACAACAACAACAACAACAACAACAACAACAACAACAACAACAACAACAACAACAACAACAACAACAACAACAACAACAACAACAACAACAACAACAACAACAACAACAACAACAACAACAAAAACGCTTTGAAGGTTCCGCTACTTTGACACAAACCCACATTCCCTCGGCAGCATCTCATGATCCTTGCCTGGGTGTCTATCTTGAAGCGCATCTTTGTTGGCCTGCAACTCTTGACTGGCTGCGCACTAGAGTGAGCGGCACATGCGCTTGTATACTTGCATGACTCGTCTGGACAGAGGCTGATAGAAATGGACACTTGACGCGTGAGCAACCCTCATCATCTATACATATATATATATATATAACACTCCAAACATTGACACGTTGTGGGCAAAGCAAACATCCCCGTTTCGGGCAAATGATTCAGGTCACAAT